ACCCCGGGAAGGTGATGGCAACCGCAGTTGTGGGAAAGCTGAAAGCAGGACGAGCTGCGGTGTAGGACATGCAGGCGACATACGTGTGGACAACGTGCCGCGCTGAGAACAGTGCAAGTTCATTAGGACGGCTGGAGCGGGCTGAGGAGGGAGGGGGCAGGGATGGAGGAGGGGAGAGGAAATGTGGACGAGAAGCCGGTTTTCTAGGGTTCCCGGGAGGAGGTCTAGGGAAATGCCTGCTGTCCAGCGCCCGGTGGCCGTGCGGTCAGTCGCGCTGTGTGTGGGCCTCTGGGCGTTAGCGCCGGCTGAGTGCTTTCTGGGCATCAGGCGAGGCCGCCCCTAAGGAGCACAAAGACCCAGGGGACGGTCCTGCCGCCAGGCTGAGGTCCTCGGGGCTGAGTCCTGGCCCCCAGCCGTGGGTGTGGAAGAAACGGCCCGTTTTCCTGTGGCCGAACCACGGTGAACGGGCGTCGCGCCCCGGGGGTGTGGGCTGGTGGGAATCCCTCCTCGGTCGTTCTGGAGCGTCCCTGGAGCAGGCCGTCGGGGTCCCCACCGGTCACTGCGGGGTCATGGCAGGTCGCAGCCCACAGAAGCCCGAAGGCCCCCGAAGACGGGCCGTGGCGCCGGGTCTGGACCAGACGGCCCACGGCTTCCTGCTGGGGCCCTGGCGGCCCTCCTGCCCCCGAGACACTGCCACCCCCCTCGGGAAGGGCCCTCACAACCCACTGGGCCATCCTGAAGCCCCCTCGCCCTTCCTCCACCCCCTAAACACCCCCCAATTCCCACCGGCTCCAGGCCAGCGGAGCCACTGTGCCTGCGGCGCCCGCCTCCCCCAGGACCATTAGGCAGGCTCCGCTGGTCAGAGCGGGCGAGGCTGTGGGAAAGCTGCTCACGGAGCCTCACGTCCCTGGAGGGGAGCGGCCAGGGAGCCCCAGCTGCGGGAAGAACAAAGGGGCCCGGGCAGCGCCCCTCTCCGCTCCCCGTGGTGGAAGGAGGCGCGGGGGGAGGGGGAGGGTGCTAGGAGACAGCTGGTAATGCCCCTGCTGGATCCAGCCTCAGGGCCTCGCCTCCTGCCCACGGAGCCCGGCCCCGTCTGCCCACCTCTGGCACCTGCCTCCTGGGCCCCGTGCTCAAGTCCAGAATAAAATCCCCTAGCCCGGCTGGTGTGGCTCAGTGGCTGAGAGGCGACCTAGGAACCAGGAGGTCAGGGCGAACAGATTCCCAGTCAGGGCACAGGCCCGGGTTGCGGGCTCCATCCCCAATGGGGGGCGTGCAGGAGGCAGCCGGTCCATGATTCTCTCTCATCGTTGATGTTTCTATACTTCTCTCCCCTTGCCTTCCTCTCTCTGAAATCAATAAAAACACATTAAAATTCCCCTTGGCCATGGAGCTCAGGGGAACAGGCCTTGTCCCAGATCTGCTGACACGCCGGTAGGAGGCGAGGCTTCCG